TTAAGCTACGTGTTATCATTGAGGTGATATTATCGTTGAGGTGATACCTAGGCCCGTGCGGAGCACGGGCAATTTCATTGAANTTCTGCTACAGCAGCCGTTGGGCCCGAGTATAGCAAACGACTGTAAAAAAAAGTTAAATGAGTACATAAATTGATATCAACCTCCGTCTTCAGGCTCTTTCCTAAGACATACATAGTGATTGAAGTAATTGTGTAGTGTACCCGTAGATTTACTACTCAAACCGCTAGCGAGGAAAGCAGGGTGTATGATATCCACACATAAATCTCCATTGTAATCGGATTTAGATAATTTCCATCATCCTAAATCCCATAAAATCTATTGACCGTCGAAAAAAACTATACAACACAAATAGACAAGCACCTGTGGATGTAATACAAATGATAGCAAGGCAAGCCACCACCAACCATCCCCCATCACAACCCGTACAGCCCCCCCCTCCCCCCCCTAAAAATAAAAACACATATGAGTATCTCTATCTCCTCCCTCCCCTATCCTCACCTTCGCTCTCTCAACCGCGCAAAAACCCCCCAACACGCCCATCTCACCCAACCTCCCCGTGTCCCCAGTACCACACTCCCGGGTTCATCCCACCCCTCCCACCCCACCAACTTCCCTACGACCCTCAACCCGCCCCCCCACCCAACCCCAATGCATCCTCCACGCACCTTCTTTCCCAGCCAACTAAACCACCACCAAAAAAACAAATCGCGCAAGCAAGAGAGCGACGTGAAAAATGGCGCTGCAACCCGGTATTCTGGCTCAAATGAGTGAGCAGGATGAGGCGGGGAAGGTGGTTCGGACCTATGTTTTGTCTTCGTCGTCAGCGTTGAATACTAGGCAAGCTGCTGGGAAGTATGATGGGGAGAAGAGAGTTGATATTATCGTACGCATCTTTCTTTATTTTCTTTATTTATTTATTTATTTGGTTTTGTGTTTAGTGAGGGGGGGAAGAAGTGCAAACAGTGCTTCTTTTGGATGATTCTGTGGGGTTGCTGATTCATGTCTAGATTCCTGAGCAAGCGCATAAAAGCGTGCTTCAGTATGTCATTGATGTGTTTTTGCCGAGTGGGTTTCCGCAGAGTGTTACGGAGGATTATGTTGAGTATCAGATTTTTGTGAGTCTGCCTTTTTTTTCTTCTTCTTTTCTTTCTGTCGCTTTGGGGTGGTGTGTGTGTGTATGTGGAGGGGTGGGGGAAGGATGAGAAAAGAGACGGTCGAGTAAGAGAAAGAGAAAGGAAGAATGGAGTGTTTGGGATAGGAAATAATGGCAAACACAGGATTCACTTCAAGCCTTTTCGTCGTCGATTGCAGGTATGTTGGCTTCGAGGGCGGTGTTACAAGGTTCGTTTCTTACATTTTTTTCCTACTCTATCTTGTCTATAACCCTCACTGTCAATTATCGCCTCTAATTCACCAAAGGCGTGGGAGTGGGTGATTCCAATGCCACACCTACCGCTGCATTGCTCCTCTCCGTCCTCCAGCAATCTGTAGGCCGCATGGCAACAATAGCCTTTGCGGATCGGTTCGGCACGGCACTCGAGCCAGAGTGCAAAATGTACCGTCTCACTGCGGATATTCTGAATGACTCGGGAATGATTCTCGACTGTTTGAGTCCTGGGTTCCCTAAGCCGCTGCGGGTAGCTGTCTTGAGCTTTGCGAGCTGTCTGAGGTCATTGTGTGGTGTTTGTGCGGGGAGCTCAAAAGCGAGTTTGAGCGCGCATTTTGCTACTGCGGGAAATTTGGGAGAAGTCAATGCCGTAAGTTTGATCGCCCCTTCTTCTTTCCTCTCTTCTCTCTTAATTGATTGAACACATGTCGTGTATTGGTGTGTTTCATCATCTCATCTCAATTATCGCCGGGTAAGCTGGAAGAAGAAACGGGAGGGCAACGAGTCAAGAAAGATAGTAAGCCGTGTCCAATAAACGGAATTAGTAGAATCGGGGTCACGAGGACATGGTCAAGAGGGGAAACTTCAACCAGGGGTCGTTAAAACAGCAACGACTATACGAAGATATACTTGCGAGGCTAATGGGAGTTTCAATAGAAAGATTCCAGTCAGGAAACAGTCATATCCTTGCTAGGCATGTTGGTAAGTACTTACCCTCATTTATCCTATCTCTCCCTCTCCCGTCTGTTCCAAGTCATGAACGGACGAAAAAGATCAAGTAAACCGCCGGATTAACAACGGACGATTGCATACAGGCAGGAAGCTTTGTGATATCGCATATCACATCGGATCTAGCAACTTGGTGCACGCTTGTACTACTCTTGGTCATACATCTGGCCACAAACTACGCGGCAGTACGAGCCGTCAGCATGCAATCGCTTAATCGACAGAGAGCCAATATTCTCTTCAGTCACATCTTGCAGTATGGAATAGTGCTCAGTCCTAAAGAGGTGTCTATGCGTGAACGCATCTTTGAAAGAGGTGGCGTGCTGCGGTGGGCAGATGACGAGGTACTTGGCAAGTGTAGGATTGGTACCTCTCTGTCGGAACTGCTAGGCCGGATCGGTAGGCGTGATAAGCTGAGCGGGTCGCTGGCGTTTTGCAGCAGCGGCGGCGGCGATGGCGAAAGCGAAGTCGATGTATACGATTTACTGAGCATTTTCGAGGCCGAGGATTACGTGCTTTGGGCGACTGGGGAACCTGCCGCTTACGAAGCTGTCATCGTGCTCAAGGCTGGGTGCGGACCGATTGATCAGCTTAGGGCGTGGGCACATGCACTGCTCATTGCGGAGAGAAGGCAACGTGGTGGTGGTGATGATGGTGGAGGAACAAGAAGTGGGTTAGGGGGTAAGCCGGACGGTGTAGTAGCGTCTGGGGCGGCTAAGGCGGCAGCAAAGCATGGGTTGGTGGGTGAGCTAAAAGATACGCTGTACGAGGTGCGGAGGATGTTTGACAAATACGGCGACGAAATGAGGGCCAAAGGATGGAATCTTGATGTAGCCGCGCTCGAGACCAAGGCCGGGATGCGGCTGCAGATTTCACCAACGGGACCATGCACTTCCGATTAACGAGCATTTGAACTATTGGTATACTACAGTAGTTAGAGCGACCCTTCCACCCCGTCTGTCCCACATTCCCAAGAAAAGTGTGAAACAAACCAAGGGCGTGGGAAGCATGGGAGTCCCCACGAAAGTCATGTTCCGGGGAGACAGGTAGCCCGAGCGGTTCCACAGACGTGTTACAGGCGGCCTAGGTAAAACGTCGCTCGGCTACTAGTCAGCTAGATTCCATCATCGTTGTTATCACACGCGCGGCTTGGGGGGAGAAGCGAGGCTCGAACTGGCCGCATAGGATCGACGCCAGCATGTGGCTCGAGACATATGTTTGAAGCATGTTTGATTGACCGTCAGCATGTCGCCTTTTTGCCGCCTTTGTTTTTCCCCCTTCTCTATACTCTACTCCAGATGGGGGTTTATTGTCAAATCAATATTTTGCTAACTAACCCGCACATGACCCGTGCCTGGAGAGGAATGGTGTCAGCGCGCTCCATCTGGGCCGGTTTCAAATATACCTGGCCTTTTTGGTCTGGTCAGCTATGACTACCCACCGCCGGGTCCATAACCAGCAAAGGAAAATCAAAAAGAGACAGAGAAAGAGAGAGGTGGTTGCAGTCCAAGCTCTTTGAGCAGAGCCTAGCGGGTTAGGGTTGAAAATGCGGGAATCAGCTTCTGCTCTGCTTCGGTCTCTGTCTATCCTCTGCCGTGCTTAGGGCCTCAGGTTCCACTTTGACGAATATGCGATGCAACATCATCAACGCGGCTGACACGGCCATATAAGACGGGTATATTGTTTGCAATCAAACGGCCGGTGCAATACAAATTGCTTTTCCCGAAAACGTGGTCGTTGGGAAAGGGAAGCCCGCGGCTGAGAGGCTCCAGCAGGACAGAGAGCAAGAGCAAGAGAGAAAGGGAAAAAAGCAGCCATGGCTCTGCATAGTCGGCGCCACCATATGCAAGGAGAGGGTAAGCCATGCCGACATCAGGCTCGAACGTAAGTGTGTGCACATGGATGCCAAGGCAGCCACTTAGTTTCATCCATGGTGCTTGAACAGACGTGAGAAATGGGGAAGCCAAAGGCAAAGAAGGAAAAAAAAGCAAACGCCACGAAGCGGTGAAGCGGAGAGAAGATGAGAGACGTTTTCCTTCCGACTTGGGACCAACGAGGACAAAGCGGTCCACAAGCTGCGTCATGGCAGGTTTTCTCTTGGGGCTACTGAGCCGAGTTTGTCTTTGTTTGGGCGGAACACAAAAATTTTCGGTAGTAAGGAGATCTGGAACTTGAGTTGGGGACTGAATCGTTGAGTCGGCTATTGTCGGAAAGAGGGAACACGAAGCGGCGAGGCGCAAAGCAAGAGCGAACACGGCAGGTAGTGTAAACAAGGCAGGCAGGCAGGCAGACAAGGACATGCAAAGTGCGGCAGCAACAGCAGCGACAAGAGGCTCGCCAGATGGGCCGAAGCAGCATCCCAACAGCATAAGGATGCGTCGGGTGTGTGGGCTTGTCCGAGGTGAAGATGAGATGACAGGCATTGGTGTTAGTAGGCCGGGTATTATGCGGCATGGTTGATGGATCGACAGGCAAGAGCGGGCAGACGGCCCTAAACGGCATCAGGCAGGATTCTAGAAGAGCGCAAAAGCTTCGAGAAGTCTTCTTCGATGACACGGCTGCCAGAGCAGAAGGTGAGCAGGCAGGGGTAAGCGGTGTGTGGTCTGACCAAGTGGGTTTACGTAGGAGGGCATGATGGCAGCTAGCAGGAAAAAAAAAGCCAGAGTCGGACCGCGACGGACAACGGCAGAGGGCCGAGGGTGGATGGATGGGCCATGGAAGTCTAGATAGACAGAAGGAAGGGGGTTTGGGGAAGGCATGAACAGCAGAGAGGGGAAGGTATGCTACATGCAGGATAGGAGGGGAAACATGGCATCTAGAAGAGTAGAGTAAGGCACTAAGGCGGCAGACTGGAATCTCGATTGCGTAGTAGAGACAGCGTGCGGATCATGGATGGGTGAGGATTGTCTTGTGTCAGGTATTTGTGGCTATACGGAGACGGCTCCCGGCCAGACGTGTGGGCAGGGACGCGTTTGTCCCCAGGCATAGGGCCAATGCCAAGCCTGTGGCCGTGCACGGCCCGTTCGCCTGTCTGAGGGGAGCGGGTGGGCATGATTGGCCGTGTGTGACGAGGCCCAAGGCGAGCGTTGCATTGCACCAGCGACGGCGCTGGCAAGCGTGTCGACGGCGGTTGGGTGAGTCGGGTTGGTGAGTGCGTGAGTGAGTGAGTGAAGTGCAGTGTGGCTGGCTCATGGAAAAAGCACGACAAGTACCGACATAAGTAGACACACACCAAGAGTCAGTATACAGACGGCGGCCATGGACATGTGGTAGAGCGAGCCAGCAGAGTCATATGGCGGATTAGTGATGCCGTCGGGCGAGTCGGGCGGCGGCCGTCGTTTTGCCGTCAAGCGGCGGCCTGAGGCCTCAGGCGTGCATACTGCTGCTCGTCCCGCTCGCTCACTCACTCACCCTCATGCTGTAATGCCAGTAGGTAGTTTTGTCAGTGTGGAGAGGCGGCGGCCGCGGCAACCAAGACAGCTAGCAGCGGGTGTACGCGCAACAATGCGACTGCAAAAGGAAAGAGTCGACACGGTGGGGGCCATGGTGTAGTAGGCCTTTGATGCTTGAAGAGAGAAAAGGGCCGAGCGAGGGCGCGGACATTAGGGCGAGAAAGAGCAAGAGGATGACGGCGGCGGAGCGACAGAGCAGCCGACGACGGACAAGGCTGCTGGGGTCAGATAACAACAACAACCGTGCTGGGCTGCAGCAGGCAGTGGCAGTGGCAGTGGGCAGCGGGCAGTGGTACTACTCTACTGGCATCCACGCCGTCGGAGCAGGCCAGAGCATAGCGCCGTCGTCCAGCATGCCGGCTGCTTTTCTTTTTGGGGAGAAGTTTTTTCTTTTCTTTTCTTTTCTTCTCTTCTCTTCTCTTCTTTCCTTCTGTGCAGCGGTCACGGGACTGTGGGTGGGGAGCAGTGGAGTGAGGATGGAGTGAGGATGATGGCAGCAGCAGCAGTAGTGAGGGTATGCTCAAGACCCATGGCAGGCGGCGAGGAGCAGCGGGCGTCGCATTAGCAGTCGCACATACAGGGACGGGTACACAAGACAAGCTCAGCAGCAGCACCATGACCACATCGGACGTGGCGAATGGTGGAGCAGGGCGCCAGCAGGCGAGGGGGGCGCGCAGTTTCGGCCGGGATGGTGGTGGTGGTGGTGGTAGTGGTGCGGTGCAGCGGTGGTGGGGCGGGCGTGCGTCTTCCAGAAGGCAGCGGCGGCCAATGGCAGCGAAGGCGCGCGTGGCCGCTTTTAGCAGACGAAGCCGTCCTGTCCTCATGCTCCGTGATGGCCAAACCGCTGGGTGGGGACGGGCCCGTGCCCTCTGACTGAGCTTTCTGCCCACGCATGGGCCCGGCGACGCCAGCGACCGACTCCCTGACTCTCGACGGCGCTTCGCTCAAAACCACGCTGAGCCGCAGATGCACCACGTCCTGACCTGACGCACATCCACCGCCCTGCCTGTCTTACTAGCACCACCACCACACATACACATACACACACTCACCCCCACCCACACACACACTTCCACACTATACAAGCACGCCTGCCCGCCCTCCACCAATCCAGCCCTCGATGCTGCTGCCGTCGACGTCCTAATCCACCCACCCTCCCGCTGGCCTGTCGACACTAGGTTCTCGCTGAACCGAGTGCCCTCCCGCCGTCAAGCTGGCCCAACAAGTCCACCTCTGTCCCTGCGACGGCTTCGACGAGCAGAGCAGGAACAACGCCCGCCGTGTTTACAAGCAATTCTGGAAGAGCGTCATGGTCACCCGGAAGCCCGCCGCACACGCCCTCTCCATAAAGACGTCGTCGACCGCCTCGAGCTCCCCCGCCCGCTCCCCCGTCGACTTTGACGGCCACCATTCCAACATGGCCATGGCCGACTACCACCACCATGCGCAGCCCGCGCCCTTGACCGTCTCCATTCCAAAGAACATTCCCAGCCCACAATGCCGCAAACCAAACCTCGCAGAGATACTCAACAACACCGCCCCTCCCCCATACACCCTCACTTCCTTCATGGCCTTTCTCTCGCAGAACCACTGCCTCGAGAACCTCGAATTCACAATGGATGCCTCCCGCTATCGCAAGCACTACTCCAAGATGGTCAGCCGCCATCCTGGCAGCCCAATCTCACCGCTATCGGACGAGTGCGCCTACGTCCTCATGCTCTGGCGTCGCTTGATCGATGCCTACATTCGCGAGTCAGGCCCGCGCGAAGTAAGCACTTGCTGCCCACAATCACTCCTCCCCCGCCAACTTACTAAACAACCATAGGTCAACCTTCCAGCCGAAGTCCGTGACAACCTGCTCAGCCTATCCGACTCCTACGTCCCTCCTCACCCATCATCATTGGACAGTGCCGTGGCCAAGATCAACGAACTCATGGAAGAGAGTGTATTGGTCTCGTTCCTGAACTCGGTCAGCCCACAAAGTGCACATCCCACCATCGGCCACGACAGCTATGCCGGAAGTAACATTTCGCGCTCGTCGACCCGCAGCTACGAGGAGCGAAGCATGCTCTCTCGTGCTTCACACCCGCCAGTCCCCACCCACCAACGCGCATCCGCGCCATCTTCACTCACTTCTGGCTTCATGCAATCCCGCCCATTCTCTCATGCTCGCTTCCACTCTCAGCCAACGTCGTCCGGCCCGCCACCGGCAACCCGCATCACCTCGGGCTACGCAAGCGGTAGCGATGCATTGACCGATGACTCGGGTAGTGCAAGCAGCCCCTCTGGCATGAGCGATCCCCTCACCCCACCCGGTACTCCGCCTGTGAGCGAATACCCCATGACTGACTTCCACCATGCCTACTACGACAACGCTCCGAGCAGCGGCACCCCCAGCCCCCGCAACAGCCGCGGAGAGCACAATGGTCTCGCTAGCGCTACTAGAGATAGTTGGAAGCGAGTCAGTAGCAAGCTATGGCCCCGCAAGAAGAGCGGTGGCCAGCTTCGCGACGACGAGCCAGGCGTCATTGAGGGAGGTCTCTTCTGAGCCATACCCAATGCACCCTTAATACTACTACCACCACACCCACCCTCATTTCCATGTTCAAAAGGCACACGATTACGACGATGCAATCAGAGCGACTTGCATCATTTGAATTATGCATACTGGGCTGCATGTCCACCGGCGTCACTACTTTTTTCTCCATATCTGCGGTCTTCGGCATGCAACGGCGCAACTGGCTCACGACCCGGCGAGGTTGTTTTGTTTTCGGAGTTCCCCATTTTCAACGACTAGACATTCACGGGCGTTGCAAAACTCGTCCTTATGCTCATGCACCACTGTGGCTTGATGCTGAGTAATTTGACGGCGTTTTCAGTTTGACATTGATCAAGAGTGTATCACGACCGAAACCCGGCTGGGTATGATTTTGATACTGGCTTATTTTATATTGATGTGTATCATTACGGCTTCTCTTTTG